CATGGCCACACACATTGTACATGTAACTGATGGTGGTATAGATGGTTGGCAACACACATTGCAGATGCAACTGAGGGGGTATAGGGGGGTGACCAAAAAGATGCCCAAAAATCACTGTCTGCTAAAAACCAACGTAATTAGCTCGTTGTGTTTACCAAGTGCATCGCATTGGTGCAAACCCATCGAAGAAAAATAACAAGCTTTCAAGATGCTAACGATAACACGGATCTTCTTAAGTAGCACACTGGGCACACAGTAGTGGATTCTGTGTCACAAAGTACTCTCCCGTTCCACATCGCTATGGTATAGCCTTCCCTAAGCTTGGTCTAGTTATGGGAAACATTTTAGCGGTGGAGAGGGTGAAGTGGCCATGTTATGTGTGCCGTTAACAGGCATCCTTTGTGCCAAGTGTACGACATCGACACTTGTTGCTAATCAGGATTACAGTGACTAGACGAGTAGTTTTAAGGCAGTTTCACACTGTAAGCATGAACTAGCTTCTTGCAGTATGAGCAGTGAAACACCCAATGTGAAATGTGGACAATGTGGAAATGTCATTTATTTGTGAGTGAATCACCGCTTTGCGCCAATGCATGTAACCGTGTAATGTAAATTACGTCTTTATATGCTCTCCTGGTATAGAGGCAACTTATCTTTTTTTGTCACTTGTTAATTTCATAATTATTAATTATTATTATTTCATTCCTTTTTAGTCGATAGTCGAGTATGTAGCGATGCCTTTTCGTTAAATTGAAGCCAGGTTTATCATTTGTGTGTAGTGCCTTAATTAGATGTCGGTAATGTTTGTAATATGCTGACAAGTAAGTGTAACAACAATCGTTAACATTCTCAATGTTAATGTTTCCTCATGTGATATATTCCCCCTACTTACCTTCCTGTGTAGATATGTCCCCTTGCTGACCCTACATTGCTGCTTGCAGGCAGGCGTTGATGGAGGTGACCATTGACCTTCAGGAGCGGCTGTTCCGCTGGGAGCAGATCGAGGCGTTGCTGGGACTGCCGCTGCGCATGAACCAGGGCCTCGAGCATCTACAGAACGCCCTACACCTCGAAGAGAGCCTGCTGTTTGCAAAGCGCAGAGGTGCACTATTAGATCGAAATAGAATCTAAGATTTGTTCGTGTCTAACTCCTAACTGGATGCATAGCTAGGTAGATATATGTATGCATGTATTTTGAGCTAGTAGTTATAAATGTGTTCATGCCTAACTAGGTGCTAGCTAGGTAGTATATATGTCTGCATGTATTTAGAGCTAGTAGTCATAGACATCTAGCAGGCACACATACGGACACATGTAAAGGATGAGACAGGATATGGATAAGATACGGACAAGATATGGACAGGACATGGACAGATTTATGGCGGATGGCGTCACCTCCAGTAAATATGTCCCATATCGTTTATCTAGGCTTTTCCTCTCAGCTTCCAGTCGGCTTCTCCCATCAATGAAATTTTTTTAAATAGTTGCCTGTTTCATTGTGCAAAGTCTATGCCATGTACTTGAGCCATGCACAAGTATGCAACCTTTGTACTTGGTAATAATGTATATCTGGCACTTCTGTGTGTTTAAGTGAAATTCGTAATCACACCAATATGAATAATAGGAGCCTCGTGAAAAAAAAACCCGGAGTATCAGACCAACAAACTCCTTCTAATTGATCGAAGCTAATTAAAAATTAATTAAGTCGTAATACTGGCTGTATGCTGTCGTCGACTGACGCGGTCGTGTGTTCGTTGTCTTCTAGGAATGAGTTCGATGAACCTACACTCGGTGAGTCAGGAAGATGGCGACGACAACTCACTACACGAATTCGGCGGTAAGCTCCACATCTTTCATCCGTCGGCGCCGCTGCCGCCTTAAATTACTTTTGTTCGAGTTCCGTCGACCGACCGGACCTCGGCTGTATCGTTAGCTGATGCTGCTGTGCATTTCAGCTGTTATCACACATAGATGGCGCCAGCAGTTAGCTGACTGATTAGCTGCAGATTCAGATGCTAAAATGACCACGTACAGGTTCTAAAATGACCATGCATGTACAGATTCTAAAATGACCACGCACAGGTTTTAAAATGACCGCGTACAGATTCTAAAATGACCACGTTCAGATTCTAAAATGACCGCCTATAGATTCTAAAATGACCACGTATGCTGATCATAGTGGCTGCATTCGGCCGCATGCTACGATTGCTGGTATTACGCTAGCCTAGTGGTTTCCAGCTTGGGGTCTCCAGACCCCTGGGGGTCCGCAAAGGTAGTTCTAGGGGTCCGTGAGCTAAGTTAAAAATTTCAAGAGGCTTCAGCGTAAAATGTATAATTACTCACAATAAGGGTGCTAAAGATAAACTTTAGTTTCTCTTGGCTGTAATATTATCAACTCAGTATAGCAGCATTAGTTGTGCTGTGTAGATGTCTTAGCTATAAAATACAGACCTTTCAAAAACCAGGGGTCCGTGGGAAAATTTATTTAAATAAAAGGCGTCCTTAGTGGTGACCCTAACCCTAACCCTAACTCTAACCCTAACCCTAACCCTAACCCTAACCCTAACCACTGTGCTAGCCTGTTAAAAGGCACAAGCTGAAGACTGCACCTAGGAATCACACAGATCATGTGGTGATGTTTGAAAATTGGCATGTCAGCGAATATTCCATTGTGCCTAAATGTGAGGTGCTTGAGTGCAGCAAAAAAAGAATTGCACTTAAGTACACTCGCAGCTCAGTTTTTACACACGCACACATGCTTACAAGCATGTACTTATTTTACTGACGATGAGGAGCTTGCAAGCTCATTTTGATATCTCTTTTACCAATGCACCATCTTTAAATAAATAAATAAATAAATAATAAAATAAATGTACAAACTTACAATCTGCTAACCACTTCAGGGTGCGAAATTAACGGGAGTCCGGAGTCAAATACTCCCAGATTTACTGTTGGACTCCCTGATTTGACGTATGCAGGAGTCCGTGTGACTCACTGAAAATTCTGCCATACTACCTAGTTCGTTCCAAAGCACGGCCTTGTGGAAATACCGTATTTTTTAAGCTAATATCCAAAGAAAATTTGACAGATGTGCAATCGCATGAATCTTAAAAATAAGCACATGCGTTGTTGTTAATATCTTTAATTTTGAACCTCAGACTGCGGACTCCCTTATTTTGCTGCGGACTCCCTCTTTTTGAGGGTAGGGAGTCCGTTGGACTCCCGTGTTCAAAAGTTCATCTCTACACCTGCACTTGTAGGCATGGCGATTGATGCACTAATAGTGGAAGCTGCTTTACTCACCGCTTACTAACATCACCGGGGTATTTTTTTGTGCACAATGCAGCAGGACCTCCACGGGAAAGCGTGGGCAGACAGCGTGAAATGCCGAGCTCAAACAGTGTGGCCAGCCTTGCATCCATGTCGTCCAAGCTGTCGTTGAACGGCAATAGCCGATAGCGAGTCAACCGCCACGCATCCCTAACTTGTGATATCAAGTTCCTGAACAGAAGGTCTGTCTGTCTCCGTGCTAGGGACTGTGAGGCAACGGCGACGAGGCAGTCTGTACACAGACATGTATATACGTAGACTGATACTTCTGTCTACGATTTGATGGTGTTAGCATCACATATCTGTACATGTATCATAAATGTTTTGGTACATGTTAAGCTAGCATTGAGTTCTTGTGTAGATTCAGAAAGTCAACAGGGCAGGGCAGGGGGGTCAGTCAGTGTAGGGCAACAGAAGTAGAGCAGTGTAGGGCAACAGAAAGTCAGAGGTTCAGAGGTGTATTGGTCAAGTGCTATATATGGGTGTGGCACTATCATTGGCAATGGATATCGTATAGCAATCTTGTAATAGCACAATGCTTGCGTTTGATGTTATGTTTACCCTCGTCTCAATGCACTGTTTAGTATTGTCATTCTTACTCAGCCACAATTACTATACTTCAGAGTACTCTAGGTTCAAGTAGTACATGGCAATGTCTTAGTTTTAGGAAACTGCTGAAACAGTCATGAATGAGCTACCTAGGAAATCTGTGTGTGTCTACGTTCAAGGCTAGTGCTGTTCCTTTTATTTCATAGCAAGACAAATCTTGTTGCTGCATACAATTATTAAGCACATGGTCACCATTTCTTGAATCGGTTAATACTACTGTGATAGTGTTTTATGTTCATAATCCTCGTTTATGATGCATGTAACAGTACGTGTCAGCGCAGGTGTTAATTGCCGCTATTCCTCAGGCTGTGCGTACCTTTGATTTCTATGTTTTGCTGTGTCTTGGGCATCGTAAATTGTATCATTCCACCACGATAATGTGTTTGCTGTAACATGTGTTGATCCTCTCTCAATGGCATAGTTAAGCGTTGTCGTAGAATGTAGCGTGCATTAATAATCGTATTATTATCCACGTGTGTGTCACAAGGTGACAATACGCATGAAAATTTTGACAAAGTTACTTTATTCCGTTTATATCGTATTCAGTTCCATATTCTGCTGCAGTGCATAAATTGTGATTGCTTGGATATGTCAGGAGACCCGAAAAACGGAACATCAAGTTTCCGTACTTGTTCGTAGCATGTACTTCTAGACACAACCTGCAATAGTTAACCATACTCCTATTAAATAAGTACGTGGTTTGCATAATAATATTTATCATAGTTATACACGTTTGCAATTATATAAATCTGTAGAAACGTGCAGAAACATTCCTGTAATAGTTGCTTTGAATCTTTTTAGGTACGTGAAGGTGCTGTGAGCATCCAGTACAACCCTATCACAAGCAGATGTATTATTGCCTTATTATTAATATTAATATTATTATTATAATTAGTGCCTTTAATAATGTTCTGTTTAGGTGTTAGTGCTTGTCGCTGTGTCAAACAGTGGTGGATCGTGCCAATGTGTCAAAGCGTTGATTCATAATAATTATTACCGGTAGGTGTCGCGACATGCTACATATACGTCAGCATCTGCGTACCGTGGAATATATAGTTACTTGGTGATATGTCGTATTATCTTACTGCCAACTAGATCTGTTGGTGGCTATCACAGGATATTTGTTTTTGATGTTAGTGGGTATCGACTCGTAACTATGATCGATTGAAAATAATAGATCATTGATTGAATAAGATGGTGGGCCATTACACACCTATTATATTGTATGAAATTGCTAGCAATTTTTGAACTTTCGTTCGTGGTTCATGTATCTCTATAAAAGTATAAAGACGTTAAGCGAGTGCAATTGCATTGTCGCCATCATCTATGTACATTGTTCAAGATATGTCATGGAAAAAGTACATAAATTGGTAATATCAGTGGTATAGGGCCATAGTGAAATGATGAGTCTTGGCTCCGATGAGAAAGTAAGAACAAGTACATATTTCAGTGAGCCCTTTCTACACCTTTAGTACTTTTCCTTTTTTTCCATGTCTGTGTTTCTGACTGTGATTGCTTTTTTATTACTAGACTGAAAAGAGTAAACTGCACTTCATATCTGTATGCAAGTAAGCTTTTTTCCCCCCTCAAAAGGATATAGTGAATAATTGATTTCCCAACTTTCAATAAATCACCAAAATGCCATTAAAGCTTTTGGATGTGAAAGGACAGTTTTACAGTTAAATGTAGGATTTCAAAATGAAGATAAGAGCGCGCGAGAACCATTTTATTTCATGAATCGATTTCATTCGATTTATTTTGAGCTACCCGCGCGGTAATTACACGTTTTATATGCATGTCTAGCTAGTCGGTTATGAATGTCAGATGGGTTTTATCTGCGTTCTAGCTGATATAGTTGGTTAAAGCGTATAAAACTAATTAATGGCTTCTATTGCCGTTGCATATAAACGCCGTTTTTCTCTGCGCTGGAATGAAACTTTGAATTCACCTGAAAATAGGCAGCGTGCCCAATCTATTTTATTGTTCATTCGTCCGCGCTGCTGTAATTGAGATGTGTGCTAGCAATGTGGGACTGAGTGTCCCTGCTGTCATCGCATAAAAATATCGAGGCAGTGTCAGGGTTACTTCTAGATTAATCCATCTGCAGTAGTGCTGTTATTGTAGTGTGAACTGTCAATGCTCTTGGTTGGAGTTTCTGCATCCGCGTACGGTGAGCGCGAATGTTATAACAATATTGAACCTCGTTTCACTTTACTGTTAACTACTGTTTATTATGTATTTTTACCGCGAGGTTGCGGAGGCTGTGGCAGTGCTCAAGTTATCAAACTGTTATTGTTCATTTCACGTTTCTGTGTGTATTCAATGGTTCCGCAGGTAGTGCAGATTGATGGACGTATGGACTAGGTCCTTGCAACGAATGAAACTACGTTAAAGAAGGGGCGTGAGCACGAAACACCGCATATCAAGAACGGTTTTAAGTAGTTCCGCTGTTTGTTCCCCGAAAACGACGAATATTTTCTCGGAACTATTGGTGTTTTACCGTAGTATTAGTTCGTGCGTCGTCTCTCGCCTAGCTCGGCTTGTATCAGCTATATGTTTATGGTAACCTGTAGATTTATTAGCACATAAGTACGCCGTACGTTTGCGATATGTCGATAGCACTGCAGTCTCTCTTATATCGCATGCTTTCCTGCCTGAACAAGCTGTGATCGGGCACGCCTGGGCGTTATTATCAGAAGTGTCATCCTATAGATGGTCTGTATCATCATAGTCTATATCATAGTCTATATCATTATGACACTCCTGATGTTCTGTGCAACCCTATTTACTACTGACACCGTACTGTGTAGTATAGAGGATCTCTTATCTACCTGCGATTCCATGTAGCGAATGTGTTTTACCTTTAGTCCCGGAATCTCGTAGCTATCGCATAGAATATTGAGTGGCAGCTGTCATGCCGATACAGTTCGGTGCTGCGGTACGTTTCAGTGCTCCGCTACGTTTCGCTACGCGAGCACGAGACGTTTGCTTTGCCACGCTACGATGCACTACCTCTCTACGTCGACGGTATTCCCCGTCATAGTCTCCTGTTTTTTACTCAACCTATGTTTTCCTCGCCATCTGCTTGTGTTTTACTTCACCGCCTGTTTCACTCTCTCACCTACTCTTACTTTGTTTATACTAAAACCTAATTATCGAACTGCGTGCAATAACGTCACTATTCTGTTTAGTGTGAGTCACAGCGTACGCCCTGTTAACAGCGTGCACCCCCAAGCGTGCAGCCCCTACCCACAGTTTGCAGCCCCACCCACAGTGTGAAGCCCCACCCTCAGCATGCAAGCACTAGGGTGCAGCCACAAGGGTGCAAACCACACATACGCTAGGTGGCACCCATTCTGGGTGCAGTTGTAGGCGGACTGGTCAGCCTTGCACCAGCAGGCGGTGCGGTTTCTCCCATAAGCCGCCACCTCAGCCGCGTGCGGGGTCTAAACGTGTGCAAGACGATCTATTGAGTGAGTACGTGCGTGCGTGCGTGCGTGCGAAGTGAGTGCGTGCGAGACAATCCGGGACACAAACGATAGCGAGAGTCAATCTATTGTAGACTGATTTATTTATTCGTGCCGGAACGGTGCCCACAGCGATGTTTGTATTATGTAAGCTGTGCTATGTGTGTATGCACTGTGAGTCGATCCTAGTTTGTACACGCATGTTGCGGCGAAGGAAGACGAGTATAGTATGATTAGTATCTGGTGTCAGATTAGCAGAGCTGCAACTTCGCTAAACCGTTTCATTGTTAGTGAGTCGTACATAAAATCAGGAGTGAATAATAATAGATTCTAGAAACATAGATCTATATAATCAATATTCACTCCTGATCAAAGTTAATTAACAACTAAAGTCTCCATGCGGTATCGTATGCGTTCCATTAAGTCCACGGTGAAAATACGAGAAGATATTCCTGTGTAAATATTCCTTTCCGGTGAAATATTTGAGTGTCCCTTAAGCCCTTTCAGGTAAATATGGTTCTAATTGTGGAACTTTGGGTATGCGTGAGTTTTGTATGCTGGTCTTTGAAATGCGAAACCGGGTGCGGTTGACGTCATGCATAGATTATTTGATGACGTATTAAAGGAGTCGTGTCCTCGTGACATGCCAGGTTACAAGTGTCAAGAGCGACCACGCCTCCTTTAATAATAATAATATTCACCTATTGCGAATAAGATCGTTAAGTAGCTTAAATGATAGAGCTAAACCCAATCTGCATCTGCCATGCCAGACTGAAATCTGCCAATCCCAATACCCAACCATCGGCCAATACTCCGACCTTTCAAACATGTCTAGGCGTGATTGTAACCCGTGTGCCTTTATACACCGTGCGAATGGTTCACTTACGTTTGATGTTGGGCTACTTATGTTCCCGCTATTCCAACTACTGCAGTCACTGTTCCTAGTGCTACCGTCTCGGCCGCTTCTGTTGCTGCTGTTGCTGCTGCTGCTGTTGCTGTTACAACTGCTGCTGCTGCTGTTGCTGTTGGTGGAGCAGCCGCCGCCGCTACTGTCACTGCTGCTGATGCTGCGGTTGGAAGTGTTGCTGCTGCTGCTGCGGTTGTTAGTTTTGTTGCTGCCGCTGCTGGTCATAATGGTAAATCCATGAATCGGTGATGATCGTCGTGATTGTGATACGGTCGCAGTCATGCTGCATACAGAAGTACCAGCGCGCGACATACCAGCATGGTATTATACTAGCGCTGTATAACAGAGCTGTTATGTACGTGTAACATATAGGCGGCCCGCGGCGTGTATATTTCGGCGAACCATATGCGTGCATTTCGCAACCACTCATCTGTGCCGATGAATGAATGACTGCTATGAGTGCATTAATAAGGGGATGCGCGTTTACAGCGCCAATTCAATGAGCAGTTCATGTGGGATTTCTCGTGTATTCCTGATCATGATAGAATGCCTCCCGCGCGAGTAGAACCCGCGTACCTCAGCTGTGCATTCAGTGGCCTACGCGCACACTATACGCGGTGTACTTATTAGTAAGTGTGTGGGGGTGCGTGCGTGCGTGCGTTCGTGAGTGAGTGTGTATGTGTGTGCGTGTGTATGTATGTGTGTGCATGTGTGTGCGCGCGTGCGTGTGTGCGAGTGTGTGTGTGTGTGCGTTATTAGGATGGGCTTGCTGGTTAATACGGTCGGTCAATTAGTAGCCTTAGCTCGTAGATCATAGGCGCTGTGTATGTGTATCGGCGCGCTATATACCACGTACTGTATTAGCTGGTTTTTGATTAGGAGGCAGGTCGAGATGGAGAGAGCCGATACGAGTTACTTTGTGCAGGATTACTGCTTTGTGCTATGCTTTGTGCCAGGTTATTGAGTTTCCTATGCGGTATTACTTCCCGGGATCCTTTTTCAGTGTCGGAGCAATATTTCTATATGCTTTGCGAGAGTTAGCTGTTATTATTATTATATAATTTTAGTAGACATATTTACAGCATGATTTTGTGGTATTCAATGGGTTTGCGACGTGGTGAATTGTTGAATAATTGTTGTGGCGGATGGCAATTTCCCATTCATATAAGCACCCGTGCCCGATGTAAAGGGCCTATTCAAGTCGGTGAGCGAGAGATATATTTTGAGCAATAAAATTTGTTATGAAAAGCACGTCCTTTGTTCTGAATTGTCGTATTCCACACGTTACTGCGCTTTTCTAATTCGATTTTCGCAAAACTGCCAGATGTAATTTAAATCCGTGCAAAATATTTGACAGGCTAACAACGCATTTTGTTAAGATGGAAGCAAATTCGATCGCCACCGAACAAGCTATTTATGTTATTGAAATAGCAGACAATCGCGTACTGACCGTCCTGTATTATGCTATTCAAATAACCAATCTCCTACTGACCAAGTTATTTTACGTTATGAAAATAACTTCCAAAACTAAACCGTTCCAAAATACAGAATGCTCACCAAGTCTGTTCCAAGGATTCCTCACTGAGCCAGTACCGCAGGCGTGTGTGTGGTGATAGCCATAGATGTCTATAATTATACTAACCCTATCTATATATATATAAGGGTTAGTATATATATATCTATGGTGATAGCGGCCTGCTACCCAAACATTTCTTAAACTGGGACGAGATTGTGTTTGATTGCATTATTACTAGATATATTACTAATATAGATATATAGTAATAGGTATATATTATATATATATATATATATATATATATATATATATATCAGGAGATAATAATGACAAATATGTGTCAAACACAAACATAATTTTAGGCGGTAACGCGTCGGCTTCTTAAATTTACAGGGGCAACATATCTAATT